TGTGCACGCGGGATAACAGGTAAGCCTGTGACCGGCCCTTTGTTACCTCAGCCAATCAGGAAAGGGCACGCACAGTACGCTCCAGATTTCGCGCAACATGCTCACATATGCGAAAGATTGATACTCTTTCGCTAATCGGCATTGACACTGGTTATGATACTGATTATCCTGTAGTCTATTCTGAAGTCAGTTCAGTGATGATAGAAAGCGGGCTTTTCAGTGAGCTTCGTTCTGACCATTACGTTATTAGCATGACGTTCTAGCATTAATTTTGACTGCCTTACTTAATTCAAATATATTTTATGGAAAACGTAAACGAAAAAATTATTTCTTGAACTCGTTTGGTAGCAAACTACTCCGTCTTTAAATTTTAGACTTAAAGAAAGGGTATCTTTCGGTTTTAAAAAAGTTTCTTAGTTGCCGAATAATTTTGAAACCTACTGACTGCTACACTCGAATTCAAGGTTTACGAACTGCGCACTGTGTACATCCTGTTTAATGAAAAGTACGTTTTGGCCTACAGTTTGAGGAAGAAGTCGCATGGTTCTCATAAAATGTTGCAATAGGTGTGAAACATGCTTTATACAGTATAGACAGCATTAATACATTGACGGATATGATGTTTTATGACTGAATACCTCACGATCGTAAAAAAGCTCATAATTTGCAATTTTTCAAACGGAAATATACCCTTTTTTAAATATAAAATTTAAAGAAGGCGTTATTTGCTATCAACTAAGTACAAGAGAGGATTTTTTCGTGCATGTTTTCCATAAAATAAAACGTAATTACTTTTTACAGTACATGAGTTTTGTTAGTGGTCAAAACGAAGCTCATTAAAAAGCTCACATCCTATCATGACTGAAATAACTTCAGAATGCTACACGATAATCAGTATCACAACCTGAGTCAATGCCGATTAGGGAAAGAGTGTCAATCTTTCGTTTATGTCGGCACGTTGCACGAAGTCTGGCGCGTACTGTAGTGGTTGGCGTCAAGTTTGCGAGCTTAGACGCGAGGCATCGACACGTCCACGAAATAAGCAAGAGCGTGTGACCGACGGCCACGCGTGCCGATAGTTGGTGCAACTGCAAACTCGGCGGGCATAGGCAGGATGAGTCAGCGCAACGGTACTGAGTGCAGGCTACCACTGAAGGATTTATAGCTAACCAGTGCTTGCGAGTTGATTGCGCAATTCCAACTAGACGAGACTTGTTCCTGGACTAGGGACAGAAGACTGCTGAAGTACTAGCGGAGGCTCATTGAATAAGAAAGTTCCTTTGAAAAGCAATGTATGAATTAAACCTATAGTCAATTCCATTCAAATACGGTACCTAACCTACACCAAACTAGACATAAGCATCCTTTTCTGCACCGCAAACGCTGTACTTCTTCAGCTTTCAGAGGTGCAATTTGGAAAGCAGTTCACGAGCTGTACAGGCAAGTGACAGGATAGGCAGTGGTTCGGAGGTTATATTGCCTGCGAGTGAATATTCTGCCAGCCTTCTCATTGTAAAAATACAATACAGCTTTGCCGACTTCAGTTAGACGTGATATACAGGGGTTTGGTCCAACCCACGTCTAACAATGAAGCTATCTTCCAGTTTAAGAGGCATAACAAACAAGCTTGGAGTTCCAAAAAAGATTACTGTAGGATAATCTCCCCCTTTCATTTGAAAGGTTATTGGGTAGCGATTCATCGTAGGGTGGCCAAATTGTAAAAGCCCCCTGTGCAGGTTTCTTACGGAAATCGTGGTTAGAGGTTTAATGCTTAGTTAGGGCGTAGATAATGCGTGTTTAATGTGCGGGAAGTGAGCATGACTCAGAATATTGTACCATTACCTATGATTAAGGATTCGCGACGGAATCCGAAACATCAGT